AAAAAAGGGGAGGAGGTGGCTGAAGTGGTGGTGAATGCTTGTAATCCTAGCACTTGAGAGGTAAATGGAAGAGGATCAGGAGTTCAAGGTCATCCTTTGCCTCAAAATAACCTCTAGGCTAGCCTGAGCTACATGAGACCCTATCTCAAAAAACTAAACAAATTAACAAATTCAGGGCCACGTGAACTGTGGAACGGTGGGGCCTGTGGAGAGTGATCGTGTTGAGTCTGGGCCTGGATCTGAGGGACAGGGCATACGTTGAACCTGCAGAGGATTAGTCTAGTGTCTGGCCGACGGCAAAGCGTTGACTAACCTGCTCTTCTCACAGCCCCAGGTTTGCCACCTGCGAAGCCGACCTCACCTGTGGCCTGACTTGTCTGCCTCGCTCAGGAAAGAGAGGCTGTGAGCCCAGCTGCCGCACCTATGGGCAGGTGAGTGGGGCACAGAGGGGAGAGGAGAAAACGGGTGTCCTATCTTTTTCATTTTCTTTGAGACAGGCTCTCTTTGAGGACTGGCCTGAAATTCGTAATCTCCTCCCGAGTTCAGCCACCACGCTGGTTCCTAATGTCTTATCTTAACGTACGGAGCCCCTAGGCCCACCCTTCCACCTGCCAGCCTAACCTCCATGTTGGGATGTGTACTTGTTGGGATGTGTGCTTAGCCTTCCAAGGATCCACCGAGTTCAGACTTTCCTTCCAACAGACCGTTCTTGCCCTGGGCTGGTACACAGGCCTTCATGGACCAGAAGACCCATGGTCTCGCCCATAGACTACCCACAAGCCCCCTCAAAAGAACACCCAGACCTTACCTTTCCCCAGGGCAGCCCTCGATCAGTAGACCTGCCCTCAGTGTCTCTGGTCTCCGCCCTCTCGAACCTGACTCCGCCCTTCCTCCTAGACCTTCGCTGATGGAGCGGACCAGTGTCACTCGGTTCTGGGTCGCGCTCTGCGGGTGGCAGCCCCTGGCTCGCGTCACCGCGTCAACATCTCCATCTCCATGCCTGCGCCTCCCGGAGGACTCGGACGACCGGCTCAGGAAGCCACTTCGGGCACGCTCGCCGCCCTAGCTCCTGGATCCTCGATGCTGCGGGCAGGGGCAGCGGCAGCGGCAGCGGCAGCGGCAGCGGCCCCTAGTGGTCTCTCGCCTTTCAGGAAAAAAAAAAGTGTCTCTTCCCTGGACAGGAGCCTAGAGCCACAGAGCTCACATCCTTCTCCCTCCTGACCTTCTAGTTTCCAGATTTTTTTTTTTTTTCCTCTAGGGACTGCAGAAACGGGCCCATCTCCCAGTTAACCTAAAAATGGCCCAACTCTCATTATTAGCTTCCCCCAGAATAAAGTCACCAGTCTAGACTACATGACGTAGATAGTCTCCCTTCTGATCTTCAGAATCTAGAGTTAACTTACAATACAATGTAAAGGGCAGATGGAATGTATCTTGCAGTGTTGATTATAATTCAGAACACCCAGGGGACCCTAAGCGGAACCCATAAGGGTAGGTGAGACATGCCCCTCCAATATGTGCCACCAAACTCTGGTTTGTATAAGAGCCCAGCCACACTTAACAGCTTTGTCTTCTGTGCAAACTAGGTGTGTTCCTTCCTCCCTTCCTCATATCCTGGCTTCAGATCTACACAAAGGACTCAGTTCAGGGTTTGGGCTGTGAGTTCTATCCATCGGCCTTAGTGGAGCCAGAAGAAATGTCATTATCAGTTCCTTTCGGCAGAACTGTGTCCCATGGTGTGCACCAAGATAAGACAAAGGCAAAGTACCTCACAACAGTACTTGCTTACTCCCAGTTATCCTAGAGTAAGCAAGCCTGAGACAAGTTTCAGTTTAAAAAATGCCTTTAAGGGGCTGGAGAGATGGCTCAGTGGTTAAGAGCACTGACTGCTCTTGCAGAGGACCCAGGTTCAATTCCCAGCACCCACATGGCAGCTATGAACCATCCTTAACTCCAGTTTCAGGGGAATCCAAAGCCCTCTCCTGACCTCTGCGGCATTGTACAACACGGGTACACTCACACACATGCAGGCAATACACATAAAAATAAAATATTTTTTAAAAATGCCTTTAAGCCCTAGTGTTAAAACTTCAAGAATGGCTGTTACCTAGAGGCTTAAACGTTAGAAACCTCTTGGGGATGGAGCTATAGAATCAATCCACAAGGCTCTGGGTTCCATCCCCAGTACCACAAAACAAACTATCTTTTTTGTTTTGCATTTTTAATCATGTCTATCGGTGTGTGAATGTGTGCTTAAGTGCCAGAGCCCAGAGTCCAGGACAGGGTGTCAGAGCCTCTGAAGCCAGTTACAGGTGGTGGCTAGCTGTCTGACATTGGTGCTAGGAGCCTAACTTGGGTCCTCTGTAAGAGCAGCAAGTGTTCTTACTTGCTGACCACCTCTCCAGCCCCTGGACCTTTTTCTTGCTATACAGGATATTCTTGTAGATGGACCAGCAACTCCACGATATCAGTGGTTCAAATATTTATTTCCTATAAAACTGGCAAATATTCCTAGGGCTAGCTACCACTGAACTACACCACCACAAATCCATCATCAAACTAATGTGTACCCAGGGGAGGCTGTGTTCTCATTGGTCTCATGTGGATAATGGAATGGTACCCAAAGGCTTATGGTGGGAGTCAATTCCACCTGGACCACATGGGCTGAGAATGTGGCACTGTGGTTCTCTCCAAAGGAAGTTTGCTGCTGGGCCAGGAGAGTGGAAAGGAGTGCTGGGTTGGGATGGGTCCTCATCAAGGATGGATACAGCAGAAAAGCCTTGTCTTCACATGCATCCTCCTGCAGTCATGGCCTGAACCTACCAATTAGGCTGGAAGCTGAGCTCCTTGCTTAGCCTTTTATTTTTTTAATTTATTTTTATTTTGTGCATGTTTTGCCTGAACGTATGTAAGTGCATCATGTATGTGCAATGCCCAGAGGCCAGAAAAGGGCATCAAAATCCCCTGGAACTGGAGTTAAGGACAGTTGTTAGCATCCATTTAGGTGCTGGAAACCAAACCTGGATCCTCTGCAAGAGCATCCAATGCTCTTAACTGATGAGTCACCTCTCCAGCCCTCCAAAATGTTTTTATTTTTCAGAGGGGTTGGATCCTTTGGAATTGGAGTTAAGGGTGAGCGTTAGCTGCCATGTGGGTGCTGAGAACCAAACCTGGGTCCTCTGGAGGAGCAGCCAGTGTTCTTAACCACTGAGCCATCTCTCCAGCCTCTAAAAAATGTTTTTCTTGCCAGGCATGGTGGCACATGCCCGCAATCCCAGCACTCGGGAGGCAGAAGCAGGCGGATCTCTGGGAGTTCAAGGCCAGCCTGCTCTACATAGTGAGTTCCAGGCCAGCTGGGGCCACAGGGAGACCCTGCCTCAAAAAGACCAAAAACAAAAAACAAAGTTTTTCTTTAAAAAAATATATATGTGTATATACATATATTTATATATATGTGTGTGTGTATATGTGTGTGTGTATGTGTGTGTGTGAGTGTGTGTATTTGGTCTTTTTGGTTCACCAACTGTTATGCACACTCCTATGGACTCTGCCACAAAGTCTCCTTGATTCTTCTTGAACAGCTTTAATTCCTGAGCAAGGGGAGGCAGGTGCAGGATTGGCTCCTAGAGGCTGGTAGCTGCCTCCAGGCCACACTCCTGGAAGTATGGGTGGGGGAGCCGGGAACTGGTTTGAAGGCCCTGGTTGAAGTAGGATGTGATCTTTCTAGGTTGCTCTTGAGCCTCCTCAGCTGCCGAGTCCTCCCTGTGGGGGAAAGGAATGGCATGGCCACTTGGGCTGAGCCTTGGCTTCCCCTCCCCTTAGCCCCCTCAGGACACATACCAGATGACACCTTCTGCCTCCTTTTCCAGAATGGCCTGCGCCGTGCTCCAGCTGAACCGGACAAACTGGGGGAAGCCAAACACAGGCTCCACGTGTTTCCTCAACCAGGCTTTTGTCTTGGGGTCTGGGGTAGGACAGATAATGGTGACAGCTCCTAAGTGACAAGTGTCAACCTTGTTCCACACTGATAATTGTTGTTTAGTGCTATTGTGGCATAGAACACACTTTGTAGACCAGGCTTGCCTGGAACTCAGAGATCTACCTGCCTCTGCCTCCCAAGTACTGTGATGAAAAGAATGTGCCAAGTCTACCTGGCTATCTCTGGCTTCTTTAAATTTTTTTTTTAATTTATTTTATGAATATGAGTGTTTTGCCTGCATGCATGTAAGTGTACCACATGTGTGCAATACGCATGAAGTTCAGAAGAGGGCATGAGATTCCCTGGAACTGGAAGTAGTCACCACGTGGGTGCTGAGAACCAAAACCTGGATCCCTCCAAGAATGCAAGAATGGCTGGTGCTTTTAACTGCTGAACCATCTCTTCAGCCCCCTGCTTTTTTTTTTTTTTTCCCAAAGATTTATTTATTTCACGTGTATGCACGTGTGCTTGAGTGTATGGACACCATGCACATACCTGTGGAGGCCAGAAGAGGGCATCAGAGCCCCTGCAACTAGTTACAGACAGTTGTGAGCTAACCAATGTGGGTGTTGGGAACCAAACCTGGGTCCTCTCAAGAGCACCAAGTACTTTTTTTTTCAATTGGTCTTTTTGAGACAGGGTCTTCCTGTAGCCGCAGCTGTCCTGGAACTATGCAGACCAGGCTGGCCTTGAACTCACAGAGATCTGCCTGCCTCTGGCTCCCAAGTGCTGGGATTAAAGGTATGCACCACCATGTCTGGCTCAAGAGCAGCAAGTACTTTTAACTGCTGACCCATCTCTCCAGCCTTACTGGCTTCTTTTTTGAGTTACTATCATGCAATGCTCAAGATGAAGTTTTGGGGAGATTGTTTCTGAGACATCTCCTTGACCCCTCCCACCCCCCACAGTCATAACAGTTATTAAATTGGGGATTTTTGGTGTTTATTTGAGACAGACTCTCTATATAGCTCAGGTTGGCCATGAACTTTTGATCTTCCCACTCCTGCTGGGGTGAATGGTATGCACCACCATGCCTGGCTGGCTTCACTTGTTTTGTGGTGCTGGGGTGGAAACTACAACTCTGTGCTGTACATCCCCACTGAGGTATATCCCCGGTCCCAAGCCACTAAATCTGTGTGTGTGCACTTGTGATTTGGGGGCAGGTATGCATGATCATTTCCTTAACATAGAGAAGACTATAGGGGCCTAGTGTGAAGAGAAAGAAGTAGGTTGAAGCTGAAGCCACTAGACATGAACCTGTGGCTCCTGTACCTTCTTTTTTTTGTTTTTTATTTTGTATTTTGAGACAGTCTCTCACTATGTAGCCCTGACTAACCTGGAACTCACTATGTAGACCAGGCTGGCCTTGAAGTCAAAGATCCACCTGCTTCTGCCACCCGAGTGCTGGGACCAAAGGCATGTGCCACACACCCGGCTCTCCATCCCTTTAACAGACAAACACACAATAGACTGGGGAGATTGTTCTGTCAGTAAAGTGCTTGTCCTACAAGCATAAAGACCCAAGTTCCAATCCCTACTACATAAGAAAAGCCAGGTGTGGGGGCTGGAGAGATGGCTCAGTGGTTAAGAACACTGGTTGTTCTTGCAGAAGACCCGGGTTTGAATCCCAGCACCCACATGGCAGCTAACAACTGTCCAGTTCCAGGGGATCTGACAGCCTCTTCTGTCCTCTGTGGGCATTGCACGACACGGGTGTACTTACCTACATGCAGGCAATACACACATACACATAAAATAAAAGTAATAAATAAAATATGAAAAAAAAAAGCCAGGTGTGCTACATGCCTGTAATTCCAGTGCTGAGGAGGCTGAGACAGGAAGATCCCTGGGGTTTCCTAGCCAGCCAGTCTAGTTGATTAGTAAACTCTGGTTCAGTGAGGGACCATCTCAAAACAAAAACCCCAGACATATACAGAAGTCCACTTGGGGTCTCAATTCCTACTTGATGGGGCTTTGGGGCTCCAGATAGACCTCAAGGAGGGAGAGAGGGGAGAGGAGGAGTCTCTGGGTTGAAACATACCTGACACATGCAGGCTATGGCCATGAACATGTATTACCACAGTTGTGGACTCAGTCTCTGCTGAGAAGGAGTGGAATGACCAGAACAATTTCAAAACCCCAGAAGCTGACCATGGCAAAGCATTATAATCTAAGCACTCGGGAAGCCGAGACAGGAGAACAGAAAGTTGCAGGCCAAGCCTGGGGACACAGTGGTATTTATTTGCCTCACATATATGAGGCCCTAGATTCAACCCTTAGCATCTAGGGAAAAAAAGAGGGGTCAGTAAGATGGCTCATCAGGTAAAATGGCTTGCCATCAAGCCTGAGAAAGTACATTCAATCCCCAGAACCCAGAGAGTAAAGTTGTTCTCTGACTTGCACACTGGCACCATGGGTCTGGACCCATGAGTTCATGTACACTCAAATAAACATAATCTTAAAAAAGTTTTAAAAAGAAGCTGGACATGGTGGTGTACACCTCTAATTCCAGCACTTGGGAAGCAGAGGAGAGTGATCTCTGTGAGTTCAAGGCCAGCCTGGTCTACATAGTGAGTTCTAGGCCAGCTGGGGCCACAGGGAGACCCCATCTCAAGAAGAAAAATAAAAAGAGCTCCAGGTCAGCCTGGGCTACACAGCAAGATTGAGGCAAGCTTAGGCTACACAGAGGGAGGGAGGGGGAGGGAGGGAGGGAGGGAGGGAGGGAGGGAAGGAAGGAAGGAAGGAAGGAAGGAAGGAAGGAAGGAAGGAAAGGATGCCCAAGGCCCAGCCTCACTGCTTTCTGCTCACCATTGGGGTAACCTGAGCCATAATCAGAGTCCAAATCCTCTAAGTTCTCCACAAACTGCCAGTTCTTCACAGCCTGGTCTCGAGCCACCTGTAGGCAGGACAGGAACTTGGGAGTCTCTTTCCTCCATGGGAACCTTGTCCACCCCCTGCCTAGGGGAATGCTGGGAGCAGGCCCTGACCAGCAGGACACTGACCTTAGCACAGATGCTGGCAGCACTGACCACAGGGTACAGGGAGTCTGCTTTGGCCTTGACTGTCACCTCCATTCCTGGAAAGTGCTTTTGCAGCCGTGCCTGATATGTCTCTGGCATCCCCACAGTGTCCACAAATACCTGCCATGGTCACAAAAACATGGCGACTGAAATGTTCAACAGTGGAAAAAAACTACAAAAGATGCAGTCTCCCAATCTTTGCATGTTTTTCCTTCTATCCAAAATGTTTTTTCAGTCATGATGGAACCCAAGGCCTTACATATGCCGCACAAACACTACTACTGAGTACTAGTCCAGATACTGTTTTCTTTTCTGTTGTCTTTGTTTTTTTTGAGGCAGGGTCTCCCTGTAGCCCCAGCTGGCCTGGAACTCACTAGGTAGACCAGGCTGGCCTTGAACTCACAGAGATCTGCCTGCCTCTGCTTCCCAAGTGCTGGGAACTAAAGATGTGCACCACCATGCCTGGGTGTTTTCTTATATAAAATGTATGGGGCTGGTGGGGCTGGAGAGATGGCTCAGTGGTTAACACTGGCTGATTTTGCAGAAGACCCAGGTTTGAATCCCAACACCCACATGGCAGCTAACAACTGTCTGTAACTCCAGAGCCAGGGGATCCGATAGCCTCTTCTGTCCTCCACAGGCATTCTATGACACGGGTGCACTTACCTACATGCAGGCAATACACGCATATACGTAAAATAAAAATATTAAAAAAAATGTATGGGGTTGGCAAGATGGCTCAGAGGACAGAGGTGCTTGCATTGAGTTTGAGTTCAATCCACAGATCCCATAAGGTGGCAAGAGAGTTATCCTCTGACTTCCCCATGCCACATACCCATTTTTATTCATACACAAAATATTTTATGAGACAGGGTCACTATGTAGTCCTGGCTGGCTTGGAACTCATATAGACCAGGCTGGCCTCAAACGCAGAAATCTCCTGCCTCTGCCTTCTGAGTGCTGGGATTAAAGGTGTGTGCCACCATATGCAGCATAATAAATAATTCTTAAAATGTATTTTGCAAAGACTGTAAGTATAGCTCAGTGGTAGAGTGCCTGCTTAACATGCATGCTGGGTTCCATCTCCTACACTGACAAAAAAGGAAAACAAAAACTGCTTTCTCTGATCACTTAGTGCATGCTGCCATGTCTCAGGAGCTGAGGACAAGGCAGCAAACGCCCTACACTAAAATCCTTGTCTCTGGGTTAGGAATGTGGTTCAGTTGGTAGAGTGCAGGCCTAGCATGCACAAAGTCCTGGATTCCATTCCTAGGACCATGTTAACTACGTGTGGTGGCAGGACAGGATTACTGTAACCCCGGTAATCAGAAGATGGACACAGAGAGGGTCAGGATTTCAAGAGCATCCTCCATGATATAGTTGCTATAGAGCTGGACAGGCTAGCTACCCTGTCTCAAAAACAAAAAATCCCAGTGTGCTATGCTTTTAATCCCAGCACTTGGGAGGCAGAGGCAGGTGGATCTCTGTGAGTTCAAGGCCAGCCTGGTTTACATAATGAGTTCCAGGCCAGCTGGGGCTACAGGGAGACCCTGTCTCAAAAAGACCAAAAAAAAAAAAAAAAGAGTACTCTAGAAAGAAAGAATAGCCAGTACACAGGCGCTGACCAGGTCAATGAGCATCAGGGAAGCACCATGCTGGCACAAGGAACATCACAAAGCCAATGGCACAAGTATACACACAGCCATTAGTTTTCCAAATCACCTTTATTTTCTGTACCAGCTGATCATCTGAACTCCAAGATTAGGCCTTGAACCTCTAAAGGCAGGGCCTGTCTGTTACACTGCTGGTCAGCACTGTATCAGGACTAGGCCCCAGCCTTACCCTCATCCAAGCCTGCCTGCCACATTTCCAAATCATCTGAAGTTCATTTCTCCCTCATAATTCTCTTGGAGCAGCCCCTTCCTTTCCCTGGAGTAATCACTGTAACACCAGTTTCCATTCTCCTCTGACAACGGAGATATTCTCCCCGACCTGACTGAATTTTCCTCATTTCATTTCTACCATGATCATAAAGTTAAATGCCAAGAGTATATATCAAAGGACTGTCTGCTGCTGCTGCATGGGGAGCAGACTGAAGGGGAGGGGGTAAAGGTGGGATCAGTGAAGAAGCTGGACAGGCTTCCCGGTTAGGAGGTGAACCCTGACACAGGAGAGTAGCTGGTGTATGGTGGAGCTTGAGATTATCCTGGACTGTTAAAGACTTCTGAGATTTCAGGATATGGGCATGGATTAGGCAGGTGTGAAGCATTTTGGGCAAAAACAAGAGTAGGGTATCAAAAAATAATTTCCTCTAATACTGAATTTCCTACTAAAGTTTTTTCTTTAAGGAAATTTTTTTTTTGTCTTTTTGAGACAGGGTCTCCCTGTAGCCCCAGCTGTCCTGGAACTCACTATGTAGACCAGGATAGCCTTGAACTCACAAAGATCCTCCTGCCTCTGCCTCCCAAGTGCTGGGATTAAAGGTGTGCACCACCACGCCCGGCTTCTTTAAGGAAATTTTTATTTTCCACAACACGCCTGCAGAAGTTAAAAGGACACCTTGTGGGAGCCAGTTCCCTCCTTCCACCATGTGGGGTCCAGGGATCGACGGGTCATCAGGCTTGGGGCAAGCACCCTCACTCACTGAGCCATCTTGTGCACCCAAAAATTTTTAAATATTTTTTTAAAATTTTATGTGCACATGTGTATTGTCTGCATGTATGTAAGTGCACCTGTGTTGTGCAATGCCCATGGAGGTCAGAAGAGGGCGTTGGATTCCCTGGAACTGGAGTCACAGACAGTTGTTAGCTGCCATGAGTGCTGGGTATTGAACCCAGGTCCTCTGCAAGAGCAGCCAGTGCTCTTAACCATTAAGCCATCTCTCCAGCACCCCAAATTTATTTTTATGTGTATGTTTTGCCTGCATGTATACAAGTGCACTACATGCACGCAATGGCTGTGGAGACCAGAAAAGGGCATCAGATCCCTTGGAACTGGAGTTATGAACAGTTTTTAGCTGCCATGTGGAGGCTGAGGAAGGAATTGGGTCCTACTCTTGGCAAGACCAGACAGTGCTCTTAACACTGAGTCATCTCTCTAGTACCTCTAATTTTTCTGTGTGTTTGAGACAGGTTCTCCCTGTAGCTGCAGCTGGCCTGGAACTCACAGCCTTCCTCTGCCTCCCAAGTGCACCAACACACCCACACCAAATTTTATTTGTATATTATTATTATTGGTCTTTTTAAAACAGGGTCTCCCTGTAGCCCCAGCTGGCCTGGAACTCACAGAGATCCACCTGCTTCTGCCTCCTGGGTGCTAGTAAGCTCAAGGCCTTGAGTATGCTAAGCACAGCCTCTACCAGTGAGGTATAAATGCCAACCTCCACCATACTTTCATTTATTTTGTATGTTTGTGTGTTGGTGTATACATGTGTATGGTCTCCTGTGTACACTGAGTAGTGCACTCAGATTGTTGTGGAGGATAAAAGTCAATGTTGGGTGTCTTTCAATTGCTCTCCAAAAGTCCCCCAAGGGATGCATTCACTGTTCCTGGAGGTACTGCAGTACCAGATGAATGTGTGGAGTAGATATTGCAAACTCCTACTCCATCTCCCTGTTTCAAAACTCTATTCAGGGGCTGTAGAGATGGCTCAGTGGTTAAGAGGACTGGCTGCTCTTGCAGAGGACTCGGGTTCAATTCCCAGCACCCACATGGCAGCTAATAACCATCCATAACTCCAGTTCCAGGGGAATCTGATGCCCTCGTCTGACCTCCATGGGCATTACACAACACAAGTGCACTTATATACCTGCAGGCAATACATTCATACACATAAAAACACTAATTAAAAAAAAAAAATCTACTCAAGCTTGGCATTGGTGGCACACACCTTTAATCCCAGCATTCAGGGGGTAGAGGCAGGCAGATCTCTGTGAGTTCAAGACCAGCCTGGTTACAGCAAGTTCCAGGCCTGCTGGGGCTACAGGGAGACCCTGTCTCAAAAAGACCAAAAATAAATAATACTGATGAGAACATGTACTATGGGGTTGGAGAGATGGCTCAGCAGTTAAGAGCACTGCTGCTTTTGCAGAGGACCTGGGTTTGGTTCCCAGCACCCACATGGCAGCTAACAACCATCAGTAACTCCAGTTCCAGGGGATCTGATGCCCTCTTCTGGCCTCCTAAGGCACTGCATGTACATGGTACGTCGTACACATACATGCAAGGAAAACATTCACATAAAACTAAATAAATGTTTTTTAAAGGGAACAAAAACATGCATTACACTTTATCTTAACCAAAGGCCAATAAGCGATCTAACTGATCCTGATGAGTTATCTCTCCAGACCCCAAATGACTTAAAAAAAAACTATGTGTACATGTGAGTGCAGTGCCCATAGAGGCCAGAGTAGGATAGGATCCCCTGGAGCTGGAGTAACAGGTGATTGTGAGCCACCTGGTGTAGGTACTGGGAACTGAGCACCAGTCCTCTGCAACAGCAGTATATGCTCTGAACCACTGAGCCATTTCTCCACACCCCTTCTCCAACTAATTTTTTTGAGGTAAGGTCTCTCACTGAATGTGGAGCTTCAGTTAGACTGGATGGACAACAAGCTCCCAGGATCCTCCTGTCTCCACCTCCCCAACACTGGGATTACAGATGTGTGTTATCCCTCTGGCTTTACCTAGTGCTGGAACAGAACCCAAGGTTTAATGAACACTAGGCTAGCACTCTTACCAACTGAGCTACATCCCCAGCCTCAATCTTTTTAACCCCATTTTATCAGAAAGTGACCGAATGATGGCAACCCAACAGTTAACTCACCTGGGTGACATTCACACCCTGATCCAGCGCAAATTGTATCAGCCCCGAAGCTGTATCATGGGATAGGGAGTTCAAGTTATACTTGACCCTGTGGTGGGAGACAGGGCTCGGTCAACACCACTCCACCTAAAAAGCCCAGTCAGCCTTTGTTGGTTACTCTTTCCTCCACCCCCTGGTAGGGCCCCTCACCGCCCAAGCATGCTGGTGGAGATGAGGTTAGGAGATAACACGTCCAGAGCCCAGCCCACATAGTCCCCGTCCTTCTCCATTTCCGCAAAGAGCCTCTGCCGCTCATTCTCCGACAGGGTCTTTGAGTCTGGGAAGAATGTAGGAGAAAAGGGTGTGTCAATAAGTTTCCTCAGTTTTTGCTTTTCCTCTCTATATTTCACCTGCCCCAATGCACATATCCAGGAACGCCGTGGGCAGCTCACCTGCCACTTTCAGGGCCTCCAGATCTGCCAGGCGGGACAGGGGGCAGTAACAGATGGCGTACACCATGGGGCCTGAGGAGGAGGGATATCAGATTTCCTGGAACAGGGCTCCAATCGGTGAACCCGTGAATGCCGCCTCCCCTGTTCCATCATCGCCGCAGCCCACAACCATCCCACTATCACTCCCCAGCCCCCATGCGCGGGATAATCTCGCTTCTCGTTCTGTGCAACCTGCACGCGCCTCCCGGTTCCCGGCCCTGGGGGCGCACCGAGCACCGGCCCGCGGCCCGCTTCATCCACACCCAGGGCGCAGGGCTCCTTGCAGCACACCGCGGGTACAGGAGAGCCCAGGCGACAGCGGCCCGTATTGTCCCTCTCCAGCTCGCTGAGATCCATGCCGTCTCAACGACCGCCAGCAACTGAAGAAAACTTCAGGCGCAGGTCCCAACGCCGGTTTTCCGTTGGCCCGGGAGCAGCTCTCCTTGCTGACCAATCGGCGCGTAGAACCCGCCCCCGACGCTCCCACCGGCGTGCTCGTTTACGCAGAGGACGCTATCGCCGCTGCCGTGCTTCTTTCTGGGAATTGTAGTTCAAGACAGCAGCCACCGAGGACGCCTTGTGTAGGCTAGCGTGCTCACGTTGCAAGCTCCGCCCCTGGGCTTCTGACGCCTGACCCGCAGTGGTTGCTGAGTACCGAGGGGGAGAAAAGAGGAAGCTGCACCCTTCAAGTGATTGAATATTTTTTTTTTTTTTGAGATAAGTTGTCGTAGCTTAGGCTGACCTCGAAGTCACTATGTGCCCCATAATGAACTTGGACTCCTGAACCTCCTGCCTCCCCTTCTCTGGTGCTGGGCTTACAGAGGTGAACGACCAGTTGATTTCTTTGGAGACTTCAAAGTCATTGCACTCCCAGAATACTAGTCTTGGACTGAGCCCTGCGCTGGCTCAGCTATGCTCCTTGCAATAGGTAACCCAGGTCCCACAGGGCTCAGGCCTTCTGACTTGGGGCTCCCAAACTCCCTCCCGAAGATCTCCGGTCCCCTGAATCTGTGTTCCCTACTCTCTTATTCAAGCCGAACCTTCTCTACCACTGTTGGAGATGGAAGTCTCCAGCAGCTTCTCACTCTGGGTCTGCACCCCCTCACACACGAAAGCTTCTTTCTCCCAGCTCAGAAAGTATGTCCCTTCGCCATCATTCAACCACACCTCCCAGACCCCTCTGCCACTTCAACCACACTTCTGCCTTTGTCTTGGTCAGTGGAGCTCAAGTCGTTTTGTGTGGGTTCTTTGTTCTCATCAAAGTTATGACCCATCCTCAGGGTCTCAGTTTCTCTATCATATACCCCTTCCTTCCCTCCACCTTTGACCCCTTTCTTCCTTTTTTGTATTGTTTTTTGAAGACAGGGTCTCATGTAGCCCAGGATGACCTTGAACTTGCTATACAGACCAGGCCAGTCTTTTAAATATTTTATTATTGTTATTTTTTATGTGCATGAGTATATTGCCTGAATGTAAGGGAACCAGTGTTGTGTGTTGTCTATGGAGGTCAGGAGAGGGTGTCAGATCCTCTGAGAGTGAAGTTACTGGCAGTTATTAGCCACCATGTGTAGCCACCATGTAGTGCTGGGAACTGAACCTGGGTCCTCTGCAAGAGCAGCTGAGCCATCTCTTTAGTCCCAAGGCCAGTCTTGAACTCTTGATCCTTCTGCCTCTGTCTCATAAATGTCTGAATCACAGGTGTCTTACACCAACTGGGCTCACTCCCAACCAACTTTTCCTGTTTTCTCCTTTGCTCTCAAAAAGCTTAGTGCATTATGGGGTAAGCTTTTACTCTCAGTGCCAGTGCTAGCCGGCCAAGACGAACAGCACCTGAAAGGGGGAGTGAGGATTGAAAGAAAAACAAGAGACAGAGAAAAGATACTTGGGAGGACTGTCAGTAGAGACTGCAGCCCTGGTTTATTTTAGATCAGCCTTCTTATACAGCAGAACATCAGATAACCACAGTTTGCTTAGCTCAATTAGCTTCAACAGCTCTTTTTTCCCACCTTTATCTGAGGGTCAAGGAATGGTCAAATACTTGCTGTGAATTCCACCATTTAACCATCTTCCCTAAATTATCAACACATTCCTCCTGACTTGGTAGAATAATTGGGTACTGGTGTGCAAAACACACAAACTCTTGAGTCAAGGTGAAAGATCATAAAGTAAACAAGCAAGCCTACCACAGCTCAATGTACATAATGGCTGTGCTTAATAGCTCCCAACAGCTCAGCACTCGGGAGGCAGAGGCAGGCGGGTCTCTGTTGGTTTGAGGCTAGCCTGGTCTACATAGAGAATTCCAGGTCAGCCAGGGCTACAAAGTGAGACCCTGTCTCAAGAAAACAAAGAAAAAAAAAGCCAACACAAAGGTTCATATATCCGGACTCAACTGCTCCTTCCCCCACCAGCCTACAACCTCAGATTTGGGGCCCCAGTTACCCCTTGGTACCCACCATCACAGCGCTTCTAATCTCCCTGCCCACTCCTGCATCTGCCAGCGGGTCCTGACCACGCCTCTTTTGTCTCTCACTCCTGCTCAGGCTCTCCAGTTGCAGTCCATCTGGTTGCAAACTGAGCAATCCTGTTGCTGGCAGGGCCTCACCTGCAGCAAGTTCTCCCATTCTATGAACACAGGGCCAGGCGCTGTGCCCAGCACCTGACAACTGGGTTCCTGTTTGCCCAGTTCACAGAAACAACGCCAGTTTCCCCACAGGCCTAAGGTCGAGTCTTCCACTACTGAAGATGAAGGGTAGATATGAAAATCTAGATAGGGATCTTAACCCCCATACCCTCCCTCTAGAGAGGGCCAAACCTAAGGAAGCTAACAACAGTTCCTGTTTGTAAGTTCCCCTGACTGTGCAGTTTAGCCTTCCCATTAGTCCCAGGTGGGGAAACTGAGTCCTAGGGAAGAGCAAGCGACCCTTTCAAGCTCACACAAGTAAGCTGCTCAGGAGGACTGCAAACTGATACCTCTAATCTATGCCAGGCTGCCAGATTGGGAGTGTGGACACTGTTGGCACCTGCTATCCAAATTGACTCCTTCAGGGTCTTGACCATGGACCTGCCCAATAGGCACTGTGCCACCTGACCAGCAGGGCTGACAAGTGGTAAATTAAATGACATAATTGACATAATGAAGATACTTAAAGACCCTGGTGTTGTGCTAGCTTATAGCAACAAAGTAATTATTGTGACCAGGAACAGCTACATTTTTTACAATGTACTAGAGACAGAGTTAACCAAGGGCCTCATAAGCACTAGGCAAGTGCTCTAGCCCCTCAGCTACAACCTTTTAAGATATGTTTAGCAGAACTTTTTTTTCTTTCCAAGACAGGGTCTCCTATAACTCAGATTGACCTCCAATTTGTTTCAGATCCCGTCTCTTTCCCAAGTGCTGGGATTACAGGTGTGCACCATCATAACTATCTTGGGTGATTCTGGGGAAGAAACCCAGGAGTTCGTACATGCTAGGAAGCACTCTAGCCTTCCCATTTGAACTATTACTACATTCCAAATCTGTAACAGAACTCTTTATTGATACTTCCTCCATGTGCTCTGAGATGGGCTTTACTCCAACTCCAGTGTTCACAAAGGCTGGACAACTCATGCTCTGCCTCAGCAGGTCTCTGCACACCACACCTGCCTTTTTCTATTTCTCCCTCAGGTCTTTTGGCCTCTGTGCCTGCTGCTCCTTCTTCCTGGGACACTATCCCCAAATCTTTGGAATTTTGGCTTTGCTAGTCATTCTGGCTATATCAGTTACTACAGGATCCAGTCACACCCTTTCTGGCTTCTCAAGCTGACCGGCCTATTTCTCTGTCTCCACCCTTCCTAGCACCTATGTTTACAGATGTGTTTATTGCCTCTCTGCACCCTTCTCTTCTCATAGTCCATTACAATTAACGGATGAGAAACAGCCTCGGAGAAAAGTAGCCAGCCCCCAGGGGACACTGCCGGTGCTGAACTGGGCGGAGACTTGAAATCGTCCAAGGAGGGTCTGTTTGTAGCCAGCTAGTCAAGTGAGGCCTTGTGGGCACCTTTTGAAATTGTTCCACCCGCCTCCTGCTAGTTTACCCTTTTGTTGGTGCAATCTCAGCAGCTCCCAGGTGTCACCTTCGCCCTGCTGGCCAAAGTACTGGTAGTTGGGGACACCAACATCAGGAGCATCATAGGTGGCAGTAGCAGAACCAGTCGGCTCCGGGCCGTGCCCAGACTCCAACTGACGCCGGCGCGCTAGGGGGACGCGGTGCCCGCAGTCTCCACGCGGACAGATGCGTGGAACTGCCCGCGTTCCACCCCGCCTCGCCCCAGCCAGGCGGCGCGCAGGCGTGAGAACCTCCCTTTCCTTGCTGGCACTGTGGACCCGACCGCTGCACTCCTCCACCCAACTCGCCACCCCCCACACACAAGCTCTGCGCCGCGTGGTTTGGGCGGCGCATAAAAGGCTCTTCGGCCCAGGGCGCACTTGGTACTGAGATCTCTCTTTGCAGCTAGTGCTCGTTCGCGTGACCGGCTCTTGCCCACGCAGGTATGGAAACCCAGAGTGCACTCCAGTGAGAGCAGCCCCCTTGGTGCAGTTCTGGCCCTATTCCGGCCTCTTTGCTGGCGGTCTTTGTTTTCCATCCGCCATGGTGGCCGCCTTTGTCCTTGCGGGGAAAACCAAGGCCAGACAGAGCCTTGGCATGCAAGCGCGATCGCGGAGTTCCCAGCTCTTCTCTCTTGGGACCTCGCCATCTCCTTCTGGAATTAGGGATTTCCACTCCGGCCGACTCGCTCCGGGGTGGGGGGGTAGGGGCCGCTGGCAGCCTTGGCCTGTCAATGGTGCCCCTGCTTAAGGGGCGGGTCTCCCAGAGGTCTTGCAGAGGGTACTGGGGGGGGTGTGTGAATATGAGTGCTGCTGCTTCCGCCGCCCTCAGTATCTAGGCCTAGCCGGAAGTCGGAGGAAGGGAGGACAAAGGGTCTTCTCCTCCAACTGACCAGGCTTGCGCGCGTCTTGGCTTTCAGCCATGGCCTCCGGCAATGCACACATCGGAAAGCCAGCCCCAGACTTCACAGCCACTGCTGTGGTGGACGGAGCCTTTAAGGAGGTCAAGCTTTCCGACTACAGAGGTGAGGCATCCTGGAGGGGGTCTAGGTGTGGACAAGGCCCACAGTTGAGAGAGGCTTGGGACTATACTTTGGTTCTCTTTCTTAGGGAAGTACGTGGTCCTCTTTTTCTACCCACTGGACTTCACGTTTGTGTGCCCCACGGAGATCATCGCTTTTAGCAACCGCTCTGAGGACTTCCGAAAGCTGGGCTGCGAGGTGCTGGGAGTGTCTGTGGACTCTCAGTTCACCCACCTGGCGTGGTATGACGACCAGAGAGGATGCAGGAAAGCACACGTTACGGGACTAAGCTTTGTGGCTTCCCATTCCCCATCTTAGAAAGAATGGAGACAGTGACACCCAAACCTTTAACCATGATGACCATAATTATCATTTGGCAACTGGTTGGAAGGTGCAGGGAACTGCAGAGGCTTCATGGCTCAGGTCTCAGGAGACAGGCTGCTTTGCCCTATTTCATGAAAGAGGAAACTAGTTCTCAGAGTTTCCAGATTAGAGCTAGAAAATGATGGGAACTTCTTCCCCCCTTTTTTTTCTGGAACTAGGGGTCAAACTCAGGGCTTCACTCCTGCTAGGCAAGTGCTCTACCACTGAGCTCTATCCCTGTCCTTGGGTTATGAGAACTCTTTAACTTGGGGTCTCTACTGCAGGGTGCTGTGGCCCACTGGCACAAGTAAAGTCAATTGAAAATGGAGCTTTAGGTGGGACCATTCTATTTCTAGCTACACTGCCCCACAGGGTGGGGTGGGTGGGGTGCTCAGGCTTGCCCTAAACCCTTTATCTCTTGCCTCCAGCACCCCCACTCCAGCCCTTATCATACCTGGGACCCACAGGGGGAGAACTCTGCTGTGCCTAGGCATCCCAAGGCCCCAACCCTGTCTCTTCCACCCTCAGGATCAACACCCCCCGGAAGGAGGGAGGCTTGGGCCCCCTGAATATCCCACTGCTTGCTGATGTCACTAAAAGCTTGTCCCAGAATTATGGTGTGTTGAAAAATGATGAAGGCATTGCCTACAGGTATAGTAGGAACCATTGTGGCTGGTGTGTGTGTGTGTGTGTGTGTGTGTGTGTGTGTGTGTGTGTGTGTATGTGTGTGTTCCCTTCCCTGGCAGTAGGAAGCTCCCTGTTCCTCAATGTGGACTCTGTCTTCAGGGGCCTCTTCATCATCGATGCCAAGGGTGTCCTTCGTCAGATCACTGTCAATGACCTGCCTGTGGGGCGCTCTGTGGATGAGGCTCTCCGCCTGGTCCAGGCCTTCCAGTACACCGATGAGCATGGGGAAGGTGAGTAGATGCTCACATGTATGTTCACATGTGGGGAGGACGTCTGGATATTAGAACCAAGTACAAGATTCAGCTGAGGACCTTGCCTGTAGAAAGAACCTGGGTGGGGAGGGGTGAAGATACCCCAATACAAAGGTGAAAAGCTGGAAGATGACAGAGGTCTATAGAAGGCATTTGAACTGGATGTGGTGGCTCATACCTGTCATCCCATCCTTTGGAGTCTGAGATAGGAGATCTCACCATAGGTTTAAGACTTCTCTATGTTACACAATGAGACCTGTCTTAAAACAACAACAAAAATAAGCCAGGCGTGGTGGCGCATGCCTGTAGTCCCAGCACTTGGGAGGCAGAGGCAGGCAGATCTCTGACTTCGAGGCCATCCTGGTCTACATAGTGAGTTCCAGGACAGCTGGGGCTACAGGGAGACCCTGTCTCAAAAAGACAAAAAAAAAAAAAAAAAAAAAAAACAAAAATAAAGAAAGAAAAAGAGCAAGATAGCATGCACAAAGTTACTCCATTCCGAGGATCAAGTGTGGTGGTGTGTTCCTGTAATCTATAATCCTAGCATTCGGGAGGCTGAGGCAGAAAGATCAGAATTTCAGGATTATCTTAACCTACATTAACCTACACAGTGAGTTCAAGGCCATCCTAGACTGGTAAGAATCTGCTTCAAAAAATGAAGAAATAGCTGGGTGCAGTGGTGCACACCTTTAATCCCAGCACTCTGGAGGCAGAGGCAAGAGGAGCTTTGTGAGTTCAAGGCTAGCCTGGGCTACATAGTGAGTTCCAGGCCAGCTAGGGCTAGAGGGAGACGCTGTCTCAAAAAAAGACCAAAAAAGCTGGATGTGGTATTGTACACCTGTAGTCCCAGCACTTGGGAGGCAGAGGCAGGCAGATCTCTGAGTTCGAGGCCAGCCTGGTCTACATAGTGAGTTCCAGGCTAGCTGGGACCACAGGGAGACCCTGTTTCAAAAAGACCCCCTCCAAAATAGTGAAATTAAAAAAAAAAAAAACCAAAAAAAAAAAAAAAAAGAGAGAGATATTTGAGAAGGCATGACCCCAAGGGCTGGAGAGATGGTTCAGCAGTCAAGAGCACTGGCTGTTCTTGCAGAGGTCCCAGCACCCACATGTTGACTAACAGCTGTCTGTAACTTGAGTTCTAGGGGATTCGACACCCTCTTCTGACTTCCATGGGCATTACAAAGAGGCTTGTCTCAAGTCAGTGTTAGTTGAGTTAGAGTATACCCTCCTATCATTTTTAATCAATTAATTTTGGGGGGTGTTCTAGAGGTCAAAGTCTCATACATACTAGATAAGTGCTCTATCACTAAGATACTCCTCTAGTCCAATCACAGTACCTTCTCTTAGAGGAGACAACTTGACCACAGGCTCAATGACTAATAGGGTTGGCAGAAGGGGAAAGAGATTAAAAGGACAAAAGAAATAGAAGGGGATGGGCATGGTGGCATAGGCCAGTAATTTCAGCATTCAGGAGGTGAGGCAAGAGGATCATAAGGCCAATCTGGGCTGCAGAGTGAGACCCTGTCTTAAAAAGTAAATAAAAGAGGCCAGTGTGGTGATGCATACCTTTAATCTCAGCAGCAGATGACAAAGGCAGGAGGATTACTGCACATTTGAGGCTAGCCTGATCAATACAGCAATTCCAGGCCAGCCAGGGGATATAGCCCAGTGTAGAGCACTTGCCTAGCATGCACAAAGCCTGAGCTCAATCCCCTGTAATGCAACAAATAAAAGAAAGAAATTGAAGGGCTAGGAATTTAGCTCACTTGGTAGAGTGTTTGCCTAGCCTGCCGGATGCCCTGCATGTGATCCCCAGTATTGGCAGGTACTCAGGAAGTGGAGGAAGGAAGATTAGGAGTTCAGAGTCATCCTCAGCTACATGTGGAATATAAGGGGAATAAAAGCAAGTTGAAACCAGATGTGCTGGTGTACATCTGTAATCCCAGCTCTTGGAAGGCTGAGGCAGAGGATCATCGTGAGTTCAAGGCCAGCCTGGACTGCATGTATACATGCCCACATGTGCAATCTTGAGCCTTAGCCTTTTCTGCAGCTCAAGCTCTTGCTTGGCCTGTTTGTCACTGACTTTAACTGTGCAGCTGAACCTCACATGTGCATCCTTGTGTGTGTTTCCATAGTCTGTCCTGCTGGTTGGAAGCCCGGCAGTGATACCATCAAGCCCAACGTGGATGACAGCAAGGAATACTTCTCCAAACACAACTAAGATGACCAAGCTGCAATGAACCTGACTTCTTGGATTTCACCCGTGTCCCCACTTGGGTGTTCTGTGCTGGCCCAGAAAGGGCTAGACCTCTTCCTCCAGCTCTGTAGTCTGGGGCAGGGCTGGGGACTGGGCCAAGGCTTTCTCATTCCCCACCTGGGATCTGGTGAATAGCGACTCCCCTTCTCTGAGCCCACCCAGATGGGCAGAGGTTTGTAGGTAACCAATAAAGTATTAGGGATAGATGTGCAAGTCTGCGTTGGTATGATCTATGTCTGGCAGTCACTTCAAACCCTCTGGCCTGGGCCACTGACTCTGTAATTACTGCTCTTCACCACAAGATGGCGGTATCACCTTATGTGCTGCTTACTACTGCTGTTTCCTCCTTGGCCTCTGAGCCATTTCCAAGTAGTGGTGGGCAGTTTACTTCCCCAGGACACTGCATCCTGAAACCTGGCTATACAGATCAATGCCCACATCTTGCTATCAGCCTGCTTTCAAATGTCATTTAACAACTGTGATCTTCACTGGGTCTCATTGTATGGAGCTAAAGACTACTTTAGATCACCTTTCAAGTTCAAGTTTGTGATGTTCCAGGCCCATTTCAGTCTAGTCTTATGGACAAGAGGGTTAGAACAAAGGTCTGAGAGCAGAACCAACAACAGGAACCTGAGCTCCATGCCCAGACCCTAGGAAGAGCTGCCTATTTGCCTCCTGCGGTGGAAGGGTAAGGGTCAGGTTGGGAGGAAGGTGTTCTACAAGGCCTCCATTTATGCTATGTGTATTTAAGCAAGTGTCTGCCATTTTGAGAGCCAATTTTATTTGACAGAACAGAAATATTCTGTTGCTGTTTTTACCCAAGAGTCTTGCAATGTAGCTCAGGCTATCCTCAAATCAATTCCTCAGCCTCAGCTCTGATTACAGGCATATACTGCCATGCTTGCCTTTACCAGCTCAATTATCCTGCAGTCCCACTATAGATGCCTAGTCCAACACCCTCTGAGGGTCATTCATCTCCTTTGGAATTTTTGTATGCCCTCCGTAACATGCTGGGGATGGAATTCAGGGTCTCTAGTATGCTGAGCAAGCACTCTATCACAGAGCCACACACTCAGCCATTCTCTGGAATTTAACTTAAAAAATTTTTTTTTTTTTAGTTTATGAGTATTTTGCCTGTGTGTATGTAAGTGCACCTGTTCACGGAGTCCAGAAGAAGGCCTCAGATCCTCAGGAACTGGTTACTGACAGTTGTTAGCAGCTGGTGCTCTTAGCTGCTGAGCCCTCTCCAGCCCCATCCCCTGCTGGGTCTGCCTTGAGCTCATCCACCCTACCGTATTTCATTTCATTGTAGGCACGCTCACTCTGTTCTGCTTTTGTTTTTCGAGACAGGGCCTCCCTGTAGCCCCAGCTGGCCTGGAACTTGCTATGTAGACCAGGATGGCCTGGATGTCACAAAGATCCTTCTGCCTCCAGAGAGATCTGGGAATCACCTGCTGTGCCAGGCACTCTTATTCAGGCTGATCTTGCTTTGGCCACAAGAACTTTGCCTGTGTTATTCCCTCCATCCCCAACCTGTTTGCTCAGAGCGCCTACATTTCCAGATCCTTTACAAAGTTGCTAGTGTGTGTATTCTGCACAGCAGCTTGCCCCCGAATCCCCCACAGATTTTCCTCTTCCTAGCTAAATCACATTCTCTCTCTCTCTCTCTCTCTCTCTCTCTCTCTCTCTCTCTCTCTCTCTCTCGCTCTCTCTCTCTCTCTCTATTTAGAGTATGTGTGAAGGTCAGAACACAACTTTCTGGAGTGGGTTCTGTCCTTTCACCATGTGGGTCCAGGGGTTAAACTCGGTCTCTGCGGCAAGCGCCTTTACTCGCTGAGCCATCTTACCGCTCCCTATTTGCTTTTACAGTCTGCTGTAGTCCAGGCTGTCTCTGGGGCTTAAGTATTCCAAGTTTTTGGTTGGGGTCGGGTTTTCTGTTTTGCCTTGTGACAAGGTCTTGCTTGCTATGTGGTTTAAGCTGGCATCTGCTTTACATGCTTAGCCCCACTCTGGTGTTCTGGTTTTTCCTCTACCCTGGAATCTTCTAGCTTCAAGGAAGAAGCTGGGAAACCAGCAGCTCAGAGTCTCAGCGGAGGGGTAGGGGGCCTGGCTTGAGGGCGGTGGCGGCGCCCAGCAACCGCCCTGGCGGGACCAAACCTGGGAGTCGCCCCGCTCAAGCCTGGCACCCGGGAGGGGAAACTGGCAGAGGGTGCCGCCCTTCCTGGCGGGGGTTGCGAGAGACAGCATATGCGACAACCAGGAGAGTACAGTAACCCTCCGCCGGAGTCAGATCAGATGGAGGGGACGTGGGCGCGGTGGGGCTCAGGCGCCGGCCTTCGACCGAGGTGGGGGTGGTTCCCAGAGCCCGAGCGAGCGCAGCCCTCCCACCGCCGGCGTTCTGGACCCAGGCCTGGGGCTTTCCGGGCCCAGGCAGCGGCTCGGGAAAATCCCAGCCCCTTTCCCGGCGCCGCGGCCCTGCCGGGCAGAGAGGGGGAGGGGATTCCCGGAATCTGCCCAGAGACCACGCTGGCGTCACTGGGCAGAATAAGCCCAAATTTGGGCAGCGCTTCCGCTGCGTCAGTGGGGAAAACCCCGGCGCGCGCGGCTGGGCGGGGTCGCGCCTGCGCACTCCGCCTGGTGCCCTGGGCAGCTAGTGGGCACCCCCCTTTGCCTCTTCGTTGCTGTACAGCGTAGGGCGCCAGAACCTTCCAACCCAGGAGCTCAGGGGAAGAGGGGAGGACTGGACGCCTGTGCTGGACCGGGACGCCTGAGGAGGGGCGCACAGAAAACGAGCTTCGAAGAGCAACGAACGGTGTGTGGGCAGACCATCCCCTCCCGCCACCCGCCCGACTTGAAAGAAAAAAGACGACAGATATTAATAAAGAACCATTTTTTTACTTAAATAGATTCAATAAAAAGTCTAACACACTCACACACAAACACATCTTAAAATAGACTCTTTAGACACTAAGTGCGTGTTTCTTCTCCACAGTACTGTGCAGAGGGGGAGGGCAAGGGGCGGAGGTCCCCTCCCTAGTGTCCCCGCGGTCTTGAGTACCAGGCGGCGGGGCCAGCTCCGCCGCGGTCGCCCCCTCCTCCCCTCCCTGTTAAATACACAAATATATTATATTCAATATGAATTCAGTCTCTTTCCAGGAAAAAAACAACATACAAAATACGCTGGAAGGGGGGCCATGTAAACGTCGAGGTGGAAGGACCGGGCGCAGGGCGGACGGGCCGGAGTCCAGTGTGTCTGAGGCGCCTCCAGGTCTCAGGGCGGCTGCCGGTCGCTGCCCTCACCCCAGTGGGAGGCGTGCTTCCAGCAGTCCAGGCTGGGGGTGTCCGTATGGGGTGGAGGAGGCTCAGAAGGCGTGTCCCTTGACCCCGAGCAGCAGCTGGCAGCCGTTGCTTACGTGAGTCATGACCTTCTGTTTGAGCTGGGCCACTTGCTCCCGGAGAAGGCCGGCAGTACTCGACAGCCCCGCGTTCTCGGCCTTGAGTGTCTTCACCTTGTCCTCCAGGCGCGCGATGCGCTCCAGCTTCCGCTTCCGGCATTTGGTGGCGGCCAGCCTGTTTCGCAGTCTCTTGCGCTCCACTTTGATACGCTCCTGGTCTTCCATGTTGATGGGGGACACCGGTGGCGTGGCGTCGCGGCTGCGAGCCTCCGGCACGGTCTGCGGTTCCTCTTTGAAGGCCGAGGCACCGCGGCCCAAGCCCAGCTGCGTGGGGTGGCCGCCGGCGAAGGGTGGCGCATGTGGGAGGTAGCTGATGGTGGCCGTCGGGTATGAGCTCCCGGTCCCGACGGCAGCCCCGGCGCCTCCCGAGGGTGCGGAAGCCGGGGAGTAGCTGCTGAGGTTGGTGTAAACAGGAGGCGGCTCCGGGCCAGCATAGACGCCCCCGGGCCCGGCCTGAGGACCCCCGCTGGCGCCCAGGGACACATTGGGGGGCGTCACGTGGTTCATCTTGTGCAGGTCGTCCAGGGCTTTGACAAAGCCGTCGGCGAAGCCCTCCTGCTCCTCGGTGACACCGCCCCCTGCGCCCCCGGCACCTCCACTGCTGCCACCCCCGCGGGGGTAAAAGTACTGTCCCGGGGGCGTGGGCGTCGTCGTGATCACGCCGTTGCTGTTGGGGACGATCAAGCGTTCCAGTTCTGAGGAGGCCAGCTTCAGAGACGCGCTTGTGTCTGATCCCTGACCAGAAAAGTAGCTGCCCGCTCCACTGCCCTCCGGGCCGGGACCGCGCGCTCCCGGCGCTTTGAGACCTCGGTAGGGATCCGCCAGGTTGAGAGCCAAGCTGGGTTTCAGGAGTTTGTAGTCGTGGAGAGAGAGGCTGCCAGGGGTCCGGCCGTATCCCGCCGGTGCGTATGAGTCGTCGTGGTAGAAGGGCTGTTCCATTTTAGTGCACATCCGGGCGGCCCAGGCGGTCTGGGAAAGGTCCCTGCAGGGCCGCCCCCGGCCTCCTGCGGCGAGCGGCGAGCTGTCTGCGGCAGTGGCTGGAACTGGTGTCCGGTCGCGCGTTCTCAGGAGCTGGCACGAATTTGGAGCAGCCAGTTGGCAGCCTTGCGTAAAAGCTCGGTCGGGTTTCCCGAGCTCTTCTCGCCTTCTCTGTGGCGCGCCCGCTTTCTCGGAGTCGTTTCCCTAAGCTCCCTGCTCCCTGCTGGCTACAAAGCCGGCCTGGCCGCCCTCAAGGTCCCAGCCGCTCAGCCGGAGCCCCACGCCTTTATACGGCGTTTGTCAGCTGCGGAAGTGCACTCCGATTGGCCGATGCTAGAGCCAGGCCCCCCGTATCCCCCCCCCTAAAGCGTGGGGAAGGGGAGGAGGCGGCTCGCGTCACTGTCAGGAAGCGCGTGTCCTTGTAAACAGCGGCCACGGGCCGGGTGGCTCAGTGCGGCTGCAGGGGGAGGGGCTCGAGGGCCCTGGATACTTGAGCAAAGGGGTGTGGAAGTTCTGAGGTACAGGAGGTAGGACCCCAGGGTTGTTATGAGAACCTGGCACAGCAAGTGAGGAGGGCGGGGTGGGGGTGTCTCAGAATGGTACCCGGAAAGGTCTCGAGGTACCAGGAATAATTGAGATGGGAAAACTGACAATTCACTAGAAAATACTAGGAGACCCCAGAAATCTGGGGAGTGTTAAGTCGGACAAGTCCAGAAGAATAAGTTAACATATGACCCAGGAAGTAGTGAGGGGGCGTCCCCCCCCAGACACAAAGGGGTTAAAGGACTGGAATTTTTACTGGAGGGAGGAAGGATCAAAGAGGTCAGAGAGTGGGGGTCAAAGAGAACATAGTACAAGAAATTAGTTAGGAGTTCGAGAGTGCACAGGAGAATGAGAGTTCTTCCCCCATAAGTGGAAAGGGGAAGCAAGGCGGTTGGGGAAGGAGATTTAGATAGGCAGAAGGCGAGCAAGGGTCCTGGGTACCTTGAGGTAAAATATACGAGGTGGAGAATGGGAACATGTTTGTTAGAGGTTGGGATCACAGTGGTCACTTGAGAAGCTTTGATGGAGGGTTAAAACATCAGGGGGCCCCAGGGGTGGTGGCGCAAACCTTTAATCCGTGCACTTGGGAGACAGAGGCAGGCGGATCTTTGTGAGTTCGAGGCCAGCCTGGTCTACATAGTGAGTTCCAGGACAGTTCGGGATACAGGGAGACCCTGTCTCAAAAAGACAAAATCAGCCGAGCTATGAGGGCAATTACAAGAGGGTACCTAATTGAGATATGCCAGAGAAGGTGACTTTGAGGATCCCAGCGACCAGAGATTTCTGTGGTTGGCGCTGTACCCCATGGGCAGTCCCTAGGCACCTCAATACTCTGTCCCCCATCCCAAAGCCCTCCCTTAGTCACCCTGGGCTCGCCCTATACCCTGTCAGCTCTTGGAGCGTGGACCCAGCCGGATAGCTGGGGCGCGGCCGCCCAACCCGACTCCCTTCCTTAGAAACAGGCTGGGGAAAAAGAGCCTAGGCAGGAAGTGTGGCAACAGCCCGGAGGGGGAAAGAGCCCGGCCCTGTCTCCCTCACTGGGTGCCTACCGGACCTAGCACCCCGCCCAAGGCTGGGCCACAATCTGCGCCAGGGAAGAGGAACATGGACTAGCGACCCTCTGCGAGGTGCGCAGATCCCGCCCAGACGCCTTCAGTCACCGTCCGCTCCCCCACTTCCATGAATGGTTCAACCCACGGCCCTCTCCTGCAACTACGAATTCTGGCGTCTGAGGACTGTTCCATTGACCCGCTGGAGGGGGGCGCAGCCAGGGAGCGGGGCCCGGTCACCATGGCAACAGGTGGGATCGGAGGCGGGGCGACCCTCGGAGTTTCTCTCCAACATCCATATTAGGGCACAGGAAAGGGTGGGACCATTGCACTCCTGGGGTGGCGAGCTAAGAGCCTGGAGTCCAGGGTTGCTGCCAAGGTCCCAGGGCGCGCCCAGGCCCCCGGATGGCTAGTCCCAACCAGTCCCGGCCGCCACCCCTGGGGCCCCCACGGCGACCTGGTTCAGCCCCGCCCAGCAACTCTGAAGCTGAGTCCTGCCAGGCCCATCCCGGCCTGTCCCAGCCTGGCAGGTCCCCGCCTGCCCGCGGGCCTGGGTCGGACTTCGCCCCCGGCCCGGCAGGGCGCGGAGGGGCGGGATGATGCCCACAAGCGTCTCCGGCGCCTGGGCGGGCTGGCACAGGGCTGCGTCCTCCCTTGGGCTTGGTGCCCTTCTCTTCTACCAGACGGTCCAGATCCCCTTTTCCCCACCCCTATCTTAAGGTCTGGATACGCCTCTCTTCATTGTATGAGCCCTACTCCCCTTTCAGTTTTGGGGGGGTTCCTTCGACTATACAGACTACCTGAAAAGAGGTCCCCTCCCTCCCTACGGTGTCTCCCTCATCTGAGGACCTTCTTTCCCCCAAGTCAAAGGGTAGAAAATCCAAAGGGAGTAGAAAGAACCCACAGGTCCTTCTCCAGGTACAAGGTAGAGGTTTAAATAGCCAGACATCCAGTTAGGCATCAAGTGGGACTTGCAAGCACGTGAGAATAAGATCTGGGAGTCCTCGCTCTCCCCCTTTCTCAGGCTGTCAGACCTCTGGTGAGATGAAGGGAGTTTCTTTAGGGTAGGGGAGAAGCTGAAGGACCAGGGCTAAATAGACTTTGTGCAGGAGGCTCAGGGCTCACCAAGTGTGGGGCAGAGAAGGAAATAGAAAAAAGGCAAAAGAGAAACTGAGCTCTGAGGGACGCAGGGGAAGTCCAGCAGAGCAGGGGAGATGGAGAGGACGGAGCTGGGGACATCCCAGGCGCTGGAGGTTCCTTGTGACCCCTAAATGCCCTCTCCCCTCCAGCCCTTGTCTGAACAGCCCCCTTCCCCACCCCAGTCTCAAGGGAGATTCCAGAAGCCGCTGAGTCTGCGGGCATGCTGCCAGGCCTGTGTCTCCTGCCCATGCTAATAACTGCAGCTGACATGTGGCCTGGCCCGCAGGCAGTCCCGCGGCAGCATGGGGGGCAGGGCAGGCTGGAGGGCAGCACCTTGGGAAGCCAACCTGCTTGTCCCCTGGGCTGGAGGCCACAGTGACTCACCCTTGGCCACAGCTGAAGCTGGCTAGACCAAAGCGAAGTCCTAGAGAGAGGCCAGGTCAGCCCAGAGAGGGTCTAGAGGGAAGACAAGAGTTGGGGGTGGGAGCATGGGAGCTTGACGGGGAGAGACAGGAGAGTTGCCCAGAGAGACAGATGGGGCAGGGTTAGTCTCCTGCAGACATGGAGACTGGGAAACACTTAAGAAAGGCAGACAGACTGAGAAATAGTAATTATTATTTTAATAGCTAACACTTACATGGTTTTTACCATGGGCCAGACACTGTTCTAAGTGACTTACATAAATTCAGTCACTGGCTACTTCCTGTGATCCAGGGAATTTCAAGCTGTGTGAATTCCCATTTAACAGATGAGAGATGGAGGCACAAGAAATGAAGGCCCTTTCATAATGTCCAAGAGCTAGAAGTGCCAGAGTTGGTACACAGTAGGTATAAAATCCAAACGGGCTACTCCCAGCATTAACTACTATGTTATGAGTGATCACAGGCAGATGGGTCTTTTGTAGTACCAACTACATACCAAAGTCTAGCAGCCCTTTCCCAAAGGGTCTCTTTTTTGATCTGAGGGAGAACTGAGCACAGAAAGAGGTGATAACGGTGTTTGTAGGACTGCCATTGTGGCCTGCTGGGGTCTTCTGTCCAGACATTCTGCATGGGTGTTTGAGCAGGGGGTGGGGAAGAGGCCAGCCAACGAGGAGGGTGGGGTGGCCAAGCTGGTACAGCCGGTTCCAGGCTCCTGCCATTCTCACCCTTGTGGCCTGGGCACCACTCCCTCATGCCGCCCTGCTGGCGCCAGGCCTGCCCAATGTGGAGGGTGCAAGGACAGCCCCTTCCCCCACATGGCCTGGGCTACAGATCAGCACCAGACTGGCTCTTGTGTGTCCTACACCCCAGGGCCTGGGGCCTGAAGCACAGGATAAGGAGGAAGTTCACCCACCCCCACCCACAGGTCTCTCTGGGGCTTTTGGCCTTGGCACCAGGGACTTCTTATAGTATGGTGACCCTCCTCCCTGGCCCCATTAACAGGGGCAGGATTGCCACCTGGAAACTGGGCTGGGGGCTGCCTGTGAGTCAGCCACTGACAGGCCAGGGCAAGAAGTCACAGCACCAAGCCTCAAGTCCCTGCCCCTGGGTGTGGACAGGAGGTAGGCTGAATGAAGCTAAGAATCAATCCCAGAGGTTCTCCTTTATGAACCCCCTGCCTGCCAGCCAGCTCCCTCTCCTGCCTCTATGGGTTTTGGGGACCCTCACCCCCTCTTCTGGAGAGGAAACTGCTGGGTTTTCTTGGAAACAGGCTCTATTCTCACACTGACTTCTCTGCTGGGCCCATGGGGAGTTTCCCACACAGCAGCTAAACCCTTGGGGGTTGGGGGGGGGACTGAACCTTCCTGAACTGGGGAGTGTCTCCTTTAAGAGGGATATAAGGAGAAAACAGGTCAGGAGCTGAAGCTTGCCCAGCAGGGGAAGTGGGGAACAGCAGGGAAGTAGGGGTGATGTTGGGAGAGGAAGTGCCAGGATCTCTGGGCCCCACAGAACCTCAACAAAGTGTGTGTGCGTGGGGGGTGCAAGCGTGGCTGGCCTGTCAGGGCGTGCTCTAGTGCACAAGGCCTGCTCAAGGTTTCTGAGTGTTGGTCCAACCATACAGGGGGTGTGGTCCTATCTGTGAGGGTTCTGTTCTGCTTTGTGTGGATGGGGTGGGAGTTAGATTGAGTGTAGTGTGTGTGTGTGTGTGTGTGTGTGTGTGTGTGTGTG